CCTAAACCCTGAACCCCAAACCTTGAACCCTAAACTCTAAACCCTAAACCCTAAACCCTAAACCGCCATACTACTGCTGCATCACTGCTCCCTACTACGTCGGAACCGCACATAAACTGGACCCGAACAAAAAGGTCACAGTGGCCCAAGGACCTAAGGCCCGGGCCGGCTCGAACTTGCAGAGTTCGGGCGACTCTGACCGGGCCTGGTTTAAGGGTTTAGGGTTTAAGGGTTTAGGGTTTAGGGGTTTGAAGTTTGGGGGTTTCTGGTTTAGGGGTTTAGGGTTTAGGGGTTTGAAGTTTGGGGGTTTAGGGTTCAGGGTTTAGGGGTCCAGGGTTTAGTTTTCTTGGCGGTGTGTATACAGTGTGCGCGCGGTGGGTGCGTCTTTTGCTTTAGGAAAAAGGGCGCACCCACTTATCGCTCGCTTGCGTCAGCATGTAGTCCCGCCCCAACCAAATCAGGGTTTAGGGTTGACCCCCCAAACCACCCTCAAAGGGGGCTTTCTTGCTCTCTGCTCCCCTCGCAGTTCGACACGTGAACGACCACATTTCACAGCAAACCACAACTGAGATGGATTGGTGTCGGGTTGTGGGTCCTCGCGGCCTGTGCCGGCCGCTCGACGAGAAGCAAGGGTTTCCAACAAACAACCCTCCCTTCACCCCCTGTTAGGGTTGCTCGAAGTGTCAAAAAGTCGCCGCGAAAACCCGCCAAGCATGACCGGTGACTCATGAAGGGTTCTCACGGAAAAGGGTCAGGGGTTTAGGATCTTGGTGCTCCGGGTCATGTGTACCAGTGCTTCAGATGGCTTTATGGCTGTACGGATATGGAGTTGGTCCAGCACTTCGGGTTTAGGGAAGAAGTCCGAAAACAGTTTAGGTTTCACCATCCCAAGTCTGAGGCACTTTTGCGACGAACCCTTCCGGTACTGGCAGCTGTGCACTGTAGACGTGGGAACCTAGTGCATTAGAGACCAGACTGCTTCAGCCAAAGGACTGCAAAAGTGCATGAAGGCACTATAATCATACGGGCCTTATTGATTAGAAGAGAAACTTTGGGGGAGACTACTGTATAGTTCTAAGTAGTCTCACCCAAAGGATTGCAGGCCTCTGTGATAATCCTGATAAACTGGCTTTGTTCCGGGTTTAGGGTTTAGAGTTAAGGGATTCTCAAACCTGCCTTTATTTCGCACTCAGATGCCTTTGATGCAGTCGGTCCTGGCCTACGACAGCTGACGGCATGCAGCGCAGTGGTTCCCATAGGTGGCGAACTTCTACAGGTTGTCTTGACACGATTGGAACTCTCCACCGGCACAACCTGAACCACACCCTAAGTCAAGCACCCTGAAGCGCTCAACCCTAGAACCCGATAGCACGTCATAACAGTGACACGGTTTAGGGTTTAGGGTTTAGGGTACTCTGACTACAAAATCAGAAACGACAAAGACCTCCAGACCCTACATCTCTCCACATTCCCCCTAAAAGCGGGCATGGTCTTGGCAAATGCAGGCAAGGCGCATGCGCACCTGGATGCCCCCCACCATATGCATGCCCGCCTTAGCATTCTCTCAAAAATAAGCAGACTGCACTCCTCCCTAGACCCTAAACCCTAAACCCTAAACCCTAAACCCTAAACCCTAAACCCTAACCTTATTTAGGTCTTTGTGATTTCCCTCCTGGGACGTTGAAAAACGCTGGGATGCCGGCGCCACCCTCGTCCGCCGCTGTGCTGGCGGACATGGCCGAGAGCGGGCGGCCAAACCTGCTATACAAAGGGTTTATAGGGATTAGGGTTCAGCAGCTCCGGATCGAGCAGTTTTATAGTAGAGTTGTATTCACGGT